AGCTTCTCCATCTTTGGCTGCAGAGAATATAATCAATCTGATTTTGATATTGCCCATCTGGTGAGGTCCATGTGTAGAGTTCAACGTCTTCAGCATTGGTGGTTGGTGCATAAACTTGGATTACTGTGATGTTGAATGATTTGCCTTGGATTCATACTGAAATCATTCTATCATTTTTGAGATTATATCCCAGTACAGCTTTTCCCATTCTTTTGTTGACTATGAGGGCTACTGCATTTCTTCTACGGGATTCTTGCCCACAATAGTAGATATGACAATTGTCTGAACTGTATTTGCCCATTCCCATCCACCTTAGTTCACTGATGCCCAGGATGTCAATGTTTATTCTTGCCATCTCCTGTTTGACTACATCCACCTTACCAGGGTTCATAGATCTTATATTCCAGGTTCCTATGCAGTATTTTTCTTTGCAGCATTGGACTTTCCTTTCACTTCCAGGCACGTCCACAGCTGAGCGTCCTTTCGGCTTTGGCCCAACCACTTCATTAACTCTGGAGCTACTTGTACCTGTCCTCCGCTCTTCCTCAGTAGCATGTTGGACGCCTTCCGACCTGAGGGGCACATCTTCCAGCATCATATCTTTTAGCCTTTTGTTTCTGTTCATGGGGTTTTCTTGGCAAAAATACTGGAGTGGCTTGCCAATGCCTGCTCCAGGTGTATCATGTTTAGTCAGAACTCTCCAGTATGACCTGTCTGTCTTGGGTGTCCCTGCACGGCATAGCCCATAGCTTCTCTGAATTAGTCAAGCCCCTTCTCCACAACAAGGCAGCAATCCGTGAAGGAGACAAGGCAACAAAAATACTGAAAATAGACTTAAATGGAAAATTCTGTGCTTAAGGTACTTTTCATATGGAATATAATTTCCAAGTCACCTTGTTTCAGGTTCTTGAGATGTGCCATATATCTGTTTTCTCTGACTTGCTTACTGCAGAGGTGAAAACCTTCTCATGTGATTTGAACTGCAACCATCTAAGATTCTCAGTTTTCATTCTATAAGATTCATAGGAATTATGGTTTGGGACAGGGAAACTTGTGGACATCATACGCATATATCTCAGAAGATGCGCGGACACTTGTATAATTATTTGGATCACTAAATTGGTTCATTTAGTGTGAAATGTTCACAATCCTTCTCAAGGCTACTTCAGAAGTTCCTTCTTAATTATTTTCAAAATTCATCAGCTTCTTATGACTCCATTCTGGATACTGTTCTTTTAATTCATAGCACTGACTAGCATAGTCAAAGCCAGTGAGACTGAACCATCTTATGTTTGGCAAATTACGCTATCTAGTGCTAAACTGTAGTGCACTGAAAGCTGCAAGGAGCAACACCAGGACACAAGAACATAAGAGGACAGTGGAGTATATGAATGAATGAATGAATATAATCGGAATATTAACATGCAAGGAAAGGAAAAAGGGGAAAAAAGAAAAGAAATGTATGAGTATGGAACATTGTCTCTTTTTGTCAAATCAAACAAAGTATAGAGTTTAACTGATTTATCACTCATAGAGAAGATAATAAAATCCATTTACATCTGTACTAATGAACATAATAAACAGCATTTTTAATGCTGATTAAAAATCTGCTACTGCCCCATATGGATAATCAATTCTGTTTATTATGTGTCAGACTTTAAAAAAAGAAGAGACAAAAATGTTGTGGCACCTAAAGATTAATTGGTACATTTTAATGCGAGCTTTCATGAATCAAGTGCACTTCATCTGACACAGGAGTAAGACTATATGACCATCATATTTATACATGGCCCTATGACCAGGTGGGATATAGATTACCAGTCTAAAAGGTAACAATACTATAACTGACACAAGTTACAAACTGTGGAATTTAATGTATAACAGGTGATAATTTTTTTTTGGACTTATATACTGCCCCATAGCGCTACAAGCACTCTCCGGGCGGTTTACAATTTTAATTATACAGGCTACACATTCCCCCCCCCCCCCAGCAAGCTGGGTACTCATTTTACCGACCTCGGAAGGAACCCTTCCAGGAACCATATATATGTTATCTCAGCTGCTTCTTTTTTAAATCTAGTTTTGTACTGTCTTTTTTCCAAGATGCTTACTTGCAGGTCATCCAAAGAGTGTCCAAGAAAACTGAGAATTTTCTATATTGTTGGCAAAATATGAAATATGAAAAATATCTACTTCATACATTTCTGTTTCCCAGAGCGGATCCCAAAGGAACTGTTGACACCTTTCTCCCTTTGGCTCCTGTTTTAACAAAAGCCAGAAACTTGCCAACCAGGCAGGAAAAGACTAACTGATAAAAATCTTTTTTTGGAATAAATACTACTTCATCAAATTCACTGAACGTTGTTCTGAGTACACACATGATTGGGGAATTAGTTAAGAACGTTCAGAAAGAAATAAACTCCTGAACCAACAGACAGGTAAACTACAATGGACCAAGAAGTTCAGCTCCATGTCTTGTTGTTTGAATAGTTTCTCCTTATCACACTATGGTCAGAATCCTATTGCCAATTTACAATTAAGTAAGGGAAATCATGTAAATCTTGGCACCATACTGTGGGCATTAATGAGCTGATGACTTTATTCCTTGCTGTGCACCCAGCCGTATGAGTGGATACACGCTGAAGAACGCAACCAGCACTGTGTTAAGAGTCAGCAATTTGCTGCCAAGACTAAATGTGATTTCCTTGTGTAAATGTAGATTGACAGCTAACATTTTAAACAGGCTACAAATGCAAGGATGTCTATCATCATCCAAAAATTGTTTTGTGAACAGTCCACTGTGAATATGACAATTGCCAGTCAGGATAAGACATCATTAGTCTGGTAAAATGGACTCTATTCCACAAGTCCTTAGGCCATAAAGTATTTATTAGTCTTCTTGGTCACACAAGGTGAAATGGGTGACATTCTTTTTTTGACATGAATACAATGTAGGAAGACCTTCTGCTTTATTTCTTCCCATTAAATTTTTGTCAGACAAGTGTAAACACTTGAATCATCTAGCTATACAACCACTATACAGTACATTTATGAAAGATTTATCAAACTCTTTAAATTCTACAATTAGTATGAAAAATTATAGTTTACAAAGCTTAACATATCAGGAAGGATTATCTTGCAGTGGAATGTCTTGCTGTAATTTGAGGTAAAAAAGATTTCTTACTATAGTTCATTTTTAAAATGATTAGAAACCAAGTCCCTGATAACTAATACAAATAGAAGCTTATACACCAAGGAACACCCATATATATATATCTATATAATAAATTCTACTCATCTTACCAGGGTTGCAGTCTGTAAGAAGTGAACAGATGGAAAGGAGGACTTTAGATATGGTTAGTGCTGGACTCCAGTTATCTTTTAAAATATCCAAGCAAATCACTCCTTGGCTGTTAATATTGCAGTGATAAATTCTTGTCCGAAATGTGACCTAGAAAAAGAAGTGATCTAGTTCACACGTATAATAGACTATGTGTATGATTACTTATAATACACAGAAATAATGATCAATCCCTCAATTTCTGATGTTGACATTGTGAATGCTGATTCTCATGTAGTCCCAAGGGCATCATTCACACACAAGAGGAGAAATCAGCAAGCTTATCTGCAAAATATGTAGAATCACATATGTTTAAAGAGAAGAAGGGAAAAACAACACATAGGAAAGGCTTCTCGTGGAGTAGCCCAATGAAAAGTGTGATCTCTAGTCATGGAATGCTGCCAGCAGAAGGGAGGGAAGGTGTTTGCAATGAATCAAGAGGTTGGTCTTCAACATTTTGTTACTGGCCCCACTGTATATACTACTAACAAACATAATGCTCTAAATACTGTTTGTGTAAAGCTAACACAATTTCACACGGAAAAGTGGGATATAGGAAGGCTTAGGGGACCCAAATATTTGAAGAAATTTTATTAAACCCTATGTGTTTATGTGTGACTCAAAAAAGCCCAAAGCTGCATGCTAAGTGGCCTCAGAATATCAGCTGATGAATGGAGATGGAATATCATGAAAAACTAAGTGAAGTGGGAAATGAAATAGAGTGGCTGGACTCTGAAGAAGAGCTCTGGAAACAGAAGCAATTTGTTGCAATTCCCACTTGTTGATATACAATTAAATTATAATAGCACCCCCATATCCACAGGATCAGTATCCACGGTTTCACTTATCCATAGTCTAAAAATATAAACAATATAAAATGAAAAAATCCAGAAATATAAACTTCCATGATGTAATTACCAGAACTGGCCACTAGAGGCAATGCTATATATAGGTATTCGCGAAGGCTTTCACGGCTGGGATATAACGGCTGTTGTCGGCTTTTTGGGCTTTTAGGCCATGTTCTGAAGGTTTTTCTTCCTAATGTTTCGCCAGTCTTTGTGGCTGGCATCTTCAGAGGACAGAGTAGCACTCTGTGCTCTGCTGCAGTTTGTTTGGGAGTTGAGTGTTTATAGCTGTGGGATCAGCTTTTATCCTTTTCAGGAGATGGGTAATTATGGTGATCAGTGGCAGGCTGTGCAAATCGGAAATGTGAAGCTCAATTTCTCAGCACCAAACTCAACCATCTGAATTGGGCCCTACAGGCAAATGGCTAATCCAAAAATGAAATCACAAGAGCCATCAAACCAAGAAAACAACACCAGACTGAAGAAGAAAAACAGCCACCCACAAATAAAGTATTTCTGCCATACATCAAAGGGGTAACGGAGAGCATGGGGAAACTTTTGAAAAAACACAACCTACAAACAGTATTCAAGCCCACCACAAAAATACAAATGTTGTGGTCAGCAAAGGACAGAAGGGACCCCCTACCACTGCAGGAGTATACCGGATACCTTGCAGTTGTGGCCAGGTATATATTGGAACCACAAAATGAAGCATCCACAAAGAACATGAGAGACACTGCAGAGTAAAACAAGCGGAAAAATTGGCAGTAGCTGAACATGCCCTAAAACAAGCTGGACATGACATTCTATTTCAAAATACTGAAATACTGGACAACACCAGCAGTCATTACATTAGACTGCACAGGGAAGCCATTGAAATCCACAAACACCAGCACAGCTTCAACAAAAAAGAAGAAAGTTTAAAACTCAACAAAGCTTGGCTCTCAGCAATGAAAAATACAGTTTGCAAAATGTCAACAAACTCTTCCCAGCCACAAGGACCGGTGATCACTACACACAAAAGACTAGCTAATGACACCCATCAATCACAGTGACAGATAATCTCTCCTCCTTATCACAACAACACACCTACAACAAAAACATACTGATCACCATAATCACCCATCTCCTGAAAAGGACAAAAGCTGATCCCACAGCTATAAATGTTCAACTCCCAAACAAACTGCAGCAGAGCACAGAGCGCTACTCCTGTCCTCTGAAGATGCCAGCCACCGAGACTGGTGAAATGTTAGGAAGAACAACCTTCAGAATATGGCCAAAGAGCCCGAAAAACCCACAACTGCTATATATAGGGTTCGCTATTATCCATGGGTTTTCAGCATTTGTAGGGGGGGGCTTATAACCAATCCTCCATGGATACCACCATCCTACTGTATAATACTTGATATAAACAAAATGGAATAAATGAACTATATATTTCTTTGGCCTAGAAAATTCTACTATTATATCCTACACCTAAGAGCTATATAAGACAGGGGAAAAAAGAGGTGGAGATAATGTTCATCATAGTGATCTTTAATGACATAAAGTGATGTCTCGCAAGACAAAATTGATTTGTTCCGCGAGCCATGTCGTCTTGCAAAATTTTCATCTTGCGAGGCGTGGTTTCCAATAGGAATGCACTGAAATGTAATTAATGCATTCCTATGGGTGAAAAAAGTCAGAAACAAAAAAAAAGTCAGAACAAACTTACAGTACCAGGTAGACTGAGCGCCGCTCCTCACAGTGCCTTGATAGCCCCCGAACAGCCGGACTCTGTGTGACCAGAGCGCCGAACAGCTGAGAGGCGGCAGCCATTTTGTGGTTGTCTCCGCTCCCCGCCCCCGCCTCTCAGCTGTTTGGCACTGGGTCTCAGAGGCTTCCTGGGGCTTGCCCAGCACAGAAAAAGGCAGGGGAAAAGGGTGGGAAATCCAAAAATGGTGCTTTTCCCCTGCCTTTTTCCGTGCTGGGCAAGGCCCGGTAAGCCCCTGAAGGCGGCAGCACTGGAGTTTATAATACACTCCAGGAGTTTTCGACTGATTCCAGTCCCACAGTTTTTTTTAATGTAGAATCAAGATACGTTTTTGCAAAGTCAGACCTCTAGCTCCATAAAACACAAAGGTCTTGGACTAGGACATGACACAGCAGGTTATCAAATAACAAACAGTAACAGCAATATTAAGCATCCAATACAAAACCTTCATGTCTCAAATTTTGAAAAATGTAATTCTAATTTTGTTGTTATTTAGTCGTTAAGTCGTGTCTGACTCTTCGAGACCCCATGGACCAGAGCACGCCAGGCCCTCCTGTCTTCCACTGCCTCCTGGAGTTGGGTCAAATTCATGTTCGTAGCTTCGATGACACTTTCCAACCATCTCATCCTCTGTCATCCCATTCTACTGTTGCCTTCACACTTTCCCAACATGAGGGTCTATTCCAGGGAGTCTTCTCTTCTCATGAGATGGCCAAAGTATTGCAGACTCAGCTTCAGCATCTATCCTTCCAGTGAGCACTCAGGGTTGATTTCATTTAGAATGGATAGGTTTGTTTTCCTTGGAGTCCAGGGGACTCTCAAAGGCCTCCTCCAGCACCACAGTTCACAAGCATCAATTCTTCGACAGTCAGCCTTCTTTATGGTCCAACTCTCACTTCCAGACGTCGCTACTGGAGAAATCATAGCTTTGACTATGCAGACCTTTGTCGGCAAGGTGATGTCTCTGCTTTTTAAGATGCTGTCTAGGTTTGTCATCGCTCTCTACCCAAGAAGCAGGTGTCTTTTAATTTTGTGGCTACTGTCACCATCTGCAGTGATCATGGAGCCCAAGAAAGTAAAATCTGTCACTGTCTCTATATCTTCTATTTGCCAGGAGGTGATGGGACCAGTGGCCATGATCTTAGTTTTTTTTATGTTTAGCTTCAGACCATTTTTTGTACTCCCCTCTTTCACCCTCATTAAGAGGTTCTTTAATTCCTCCTTACTTTCTGCCATCAAAGTGGTATTGTCTACATATCACTTGATGATATTTCTTCCGCAATCTTAATTCCGGCTTGGGATTCCTCCAGTCCGGCCTTTCGCATGATGTATTCTGCATATAATTTAAATAAGCAGGGGGACAATATACAGCCTTGTCGTACTCCTTTCCCAATTTTGAACCAATCAGTGTTTCCGTATCCAGTTCTAACTGTTGCTCCTCTCGCACGTATAGGTTTCTCAGGAGATAGATAAGGTGGTCAGGCATTCCCATTTCTTTAAGGACTTGCCATAGTTTGTTGTGGTCAACACAGTCATAGTCAATGAAGCAGAAGTAGATGTTTTTCTGGAACTCTCTGGCCTTTTCCATAATCCAGCGCATGTTAGCAATTTGGTCTCGAGTTCCTCTGCCCTTTCGAAATCTGGCTTGCACTTCTGGGAGTTCTCGGTCCACATACTGCTGAAGCCTACCATGGAGGATTTTGAGCATAACCTTGCTAAAATCTAATTTAGGAAACATCAAATGATTCCAGAATGAAAATGTTATGTAGTGATTCCAAGGAGTACATCCAATAACTACCTCCATCTGAGGAATATTCAGATTAATCAAACACTGTGATTTACAGAATAAAACTTATTCATTATTCACCAAATGTTCACTTGGATGTATTTTTATGGAAGTTTCTCTAATCTGTTCTGCAGATATCACTACTTCTATGACTTCATTTAATGCCAAAAAATAACATAAGGTAGTATTAGTTTCTCACAAAATGATTACACTACATTCCCCCTATAAATGCTCTCTGGTGCTTTTGTTGTTGTTTCTAAATGAAAACTGGGAATTTCGCCAGCTAACAGGCCAAAGGGATAATGTTGGCTAGGATCCCAGAAAAATCTGGACATCTAGGGCATACAGTAAGCTAGCCTTTAAAAATGTTTTAAAGCCTAAGTGGAAAGAAAAATAATATAGAAGTCTCCACTACTGGTTTTAGCCCTATCAAACAAGTCTGTAATGGCAGTGACAGATGAGGGGAAACTACCAAGACCTCATGGCTGGAAGAAGGCATACATCAGAAGAAAGCGTGAGGCATTTTTGAAAAGATTGACTAGAACCATGTAATGCTATCAGTGTCTTCCAGAGATCCAACCAGGCACCTAGAAGGACATTTAGAATGTTATATGTAGCTCAGACTCATAAATGTTTCTGCTGCCCATGTATGTTTTTAACACACAAGTATGAAGCTTAAAGTGGAAGAACTGATACATTTTCATTTTGGAACAGACTGTGGATAAATTCCCTGCTGATTTCCACAAAAATGATTTCCCTGAGGATCTTACTCTGAGTCAGGTACTGGAAAACAAGTAATACTGAAAATACTTTAAAGATCTCGATCACTGGTTCCAACCTTAGATCCCCAGGTGCTTGGACTAAAACTCCCAGAAGCTTTCACCAGTAGCTGTGCTGGCCAGGATTTCTGGGAGTTGTAGTCCAAGAACATTTGTGGACCCAAGATTGGAAGCCACTATTTAAAAAACAATATTATATATCTAGGTCAGTATCTAGATGTATGATATTGTTTTTTTTAATAATTGTGGGTGAAGATGAGTGCTACAAAAGTCACAGATTTAGTGAGACACAGCAACATAAAAGCAGCAAGTCTAATTCAGATATTAGTATTCTTGCCTCTTCTTCCTTATTTTTCTAAGTATATTTATCGTTTTTATTGTATTTCTTAGCATTTGAGTAACATATCAAGTATAACTACCCAATATCTAGAGTTTTATACATGTAGATCATTTACAATGGTTTTCAGATCAATGAAGAACAGAGTGGAAACATGCTTTGCATTTCTCTTATAAAATACATTACATTTCACAAAGTATAATTGAAATAAGTATCTTTTTCTTTGTCAAAGTAGGGTATAGCAGGAAAAAAAACCCAAGTATCAATCTCTTACACCTAGTTCATATATTGCTATGCAACACTTATTATGATTTGTATCTACCCTCTTGGATTCTCAATAATGCCTAATTTGACATACTAATTTAGTATTTCTATGAACAAGGTATTTATAAAATGTATTTCTATTCCACTTTTCAAACTATTTTAGTCAACTTACAATGGCTAAAATGTATGTTAGAAGATAAAACAAACCAGAGATTAAAGTGTGTTTAAACAGTGAACTGCAGCCACCAAAAGCCTCCAGGAGTAGCAATCCATTTTTGAAAATAGGTCACATGGCCCTTTCCATCCTTTAACATGTCCAAATACTGATTTTTAAAAACCGGAAATGGACTTCTAGTGACTCCAGTTTTCATTGTTTTTGGCATTCAGGAGGTCTGTGTGGCTGAGAATTGGCCCCTGAAACTACCTAAGCGACCAAAGTTAAAATCAACAAACCACAAGTGAATTAAAGAACAAAACCCAAAAGGTTTAAAATTTTCTGATTGAGATATAATCTGAAATGTGAAATAAAATCTGAAATATTTTGAATGTTAATACCTTTTTAGACTATCAAGGCATTATCATCTTTTTACCATGTGAGGTTGACTTGCACTTTTTCATGATTAATATCTAATATATACAGTAAAAAGGAAGGAGTTATATCTCCTTCAGTTTTAACAATCAGACAGACATGGCGTATACTAGCTTGATCTCTATGCCCATGCTAAAACAATATTATGGGAAAATCCAGATTTGAAGGTAGAGAGAAAGCCCTTTTTGCGGAAGAAATGGGTGATGTGATATATACACTTTAGATCATTTGATAGGCTTGGATTATGAATTTCTAACACTATCCACTTTACATGCTAAATACAATCAACCTGCAAGTACAGAATGACATTATCTGCCACTTCAATATTTGCTGGTGTCTATCTTTGATCCATCTGCACTGAATGCTTCAGAACCTCCTAAGGTACTGGAGGGAATGAGTGGATCTGGTCAAAAATCCAAGCCAATAACCATAAGATATAAATGTTTAATTAACCTTTATAAAATAGATACTTAAAGGGACACTGAATGGGGAATTAGAAGGTAAAATACAACCTAAACAATGGAAATCGTATCAGAATCTATAAAGGATGTTTCTTGAGATTTGAAAAATCTAAACTAAACAAAAATAGTATTTAGAACATATTGGACTCCACAATGATTGTTCAGGAAGGAACTGACAAATGCTGATGTAATATTGGAAATGCATCCTTGAAACACATTATTTGGGCATGTCGAGTAATACATTTATTTTGGATTGAAGTTGTCACTTGTATCAATGTAGTATTTGGGAAATCCTTGATATTTCTAGATATTCATGTTCTGTTAAGTTATATTCCTCTTCTATGGGACTTAACAAAGGGACAATGAAATTGAACTTTACAAGCCCTTACGATGGATAAGACACTTATACTCCAAGCTTGGAAGGATAAACATCTACCATTCACTACACTACACAATGGTAGGAATAGCTGTTAGAACTAGCTTCATCTGAATAAGCATAATATAGATGTCAATTTCATGAGGACATCTACCTGGACAACTGAAAGTCCTATGCTGATTGATATGTATGATATAAGCTATATGCATTTATGGTTTGGCCATAAATGAGCTGCATGATCATTGGTTCCTTCCTCTTCTACTTTCAGATTCAGCCTTCGCTTTTCCTGGCTGGAGTGATGCCTAAAATGGCCTTATGCAATTATTTGCAGCTATTGGCTTATGAATTGTACCTTAGTGTTCAGTAAGTAACTTGACAACTTTTCATGAAGTGTAAATGTGTTATTCTTTGATATCCCACTAAGATCAAATCCTCATATTTTACTTCCTTGCTAATGTTTAAAGCAGTCACATGGGTTTAAAAGCATTTTTTAGATTTGCTTTTCTATGCAATAAACTCTAATGTCCTGTGATCCATGAACAATGTTAAAATGCACATGGAGACAATTTTGTCCAAATTATGGCTGGACGCAGAATATATTAATCATGCTTTAGTCAAATTTAAACCTATGGGATAGGCGAATCATGACACTCCTTTTAATGGGACTAAAGTTTGATTAAGAGGATCCTTCCAGATGAAGAGCTTCTAGTGTTATCAACCAAAATGTACTGTGCAGCTACTTTGTCTTTCTCTCCCTAACCAATTATTTTCTGGCTAAAAAAAAGGTGCAAGCAGAGGAAAAACATGTGAAGATTAAAAACTGAACATGACAGATCCTGTCTAAATACTCCCAGCAAAATTTTGTGAGCGAGACAGAAATTGTACAATAAAGGTCTTGTTTGGAAGCACCCCAGTATCTAGTCAACCTAATTAATGCTATATTCCCCTTCTTACCTTCGGTGGCTTAAAAGGATAATCTGGTGAGAAGGTAATATCAAGAAAAAATACACCTCCTTCATACACAGAACCTGGAGGCCCAAGTATAGTTGATCGCCATTCGTAAATGTTGTCTCCCTTGGGTCCAGCACTGTAAAGGAGAACATATTTAGTAATTGCATAAAGCACCTGCATAACAAACAAGTACATCAACTATATTTCTAGTAATGATGTTTTCAAAATGCATTAAAAGTTGAAAATAAATCACAATATTGAACCTGTTTCTGACTACAGGTACGATTGTTTGCCATTTTATAACTAAAACTAGTTTTTGAAGTGACATTTCTCAGATATTCTGTAATTTGTCATTCACTTTATCACTAGGTGGCATTGCAATAACATTATTTTATAAGATAGGGTTTCCGGGAGAATGAGCATAATGATTTGCCAAAACTATCTATAACAGAGCAGTGACATATGATACTCTGGGCCTCACTGCTCAGTTATGTCTTTATAGTCATCCTTCTTAAAAGTAACTTTCCAAGCTCTGATTTGAAGATTAACTTTACGAAACAACATAACAAAAATCTTTCTATTTGTACAATTTGTTTAAAGGAAAAAAACAAAAAAGGAGGTCACATATAGAGAAGTTAGTTCATCACATATTCTTAATGTCACCTTCACTGGCAATAAAACTGTCCATAAGTTGTTACTGCTGCTACTCTTTATAACCCTAGCTATTCTTATTCCCCTCTGTGATTTCTAAGGATAACTTTCTTATGCTCATTAGTGTTTACTTCTGAAATCCATTATTGGTGGATTATCTATATCAGGGACTTGTATAATTTTAGACCTAAGAGGGTATACCTTAAATCTGAACTGCAATACACAACTCACTTCAGTTTTCATCATTTATGGTCATTTTCGTCCTCTCTTTTAGGTGACCATATGCAAAGGAAGCTGATATAATCTGCCTTGCCTATATTTCTATTCAGTATATATAATCAGTAGCATATTTTGCTTCAATAAGCACTACACTATGATATTTCAATGTATCTCTTTGTTAATTATGTTAATGCAATTGAAAGAAAAGCGAATAAAATATTTATGTTTAAAATCACTGTTAAGGTTTGTCCCTAAGTAAAAGAAGAAAAATCTGTTGGAATTATTGCTCTCTTGTATCTTGCTTTTAAGAGGTTTTGGCTGGAACCTTTCTGGACTAGGCTGAATGCCAAGGCCATAACTCTCCAATCAAGAGTTCTTACCCTGACTTTTTCCAATCACAGTCTATGTTCAGTTAAGAATCAGTCATGTAGTTAGTATGCAGCTAGTTACTGAGTTAAACTCTGTTAATGTAACCAGTCACTATATTTCTGCTAAAGGCTGTTTGTTTTATCCGTTTAGAAATGTGAGTAACATGGAACTTTTTATTCTTTCTAGCAGTCTCCAAGTGAATTATTCAGATAGTAAATGCCAACCAAGGAGAACAAATCAATATGGGCCACGTAACCTCTAACTGCTCCACCTCTTGCACCTGCAACTTTGCCCCTGTGTGAGCATGTGACTCCGCCTCCTGCATGCCGGTTTCTGTTGAAACTGGAAATAAAGGGGCTGAAAATGATCATATGCGGAGGAGGAGGAAAGCTGCACAGAGAAAGTCAGAGTCAGACATGCCTTAGAGGGAACCTTGATAAGGGGTGATCTACTGACCTTTTTTTTTATTTGTTGCACAACAAGGAGGTTTTCAAGTCATACATTTCTACACGCTGTCAACAAAATAGTCTTGCATTTGAAAGATTTACAACATGTCTATCACTTTATAGTTCACCAAGACAAATTAATAATACTGATATTGCTGCCAGTTAGGACTGATGGTTGTTGTGATGTAATGTGATTAACTGCTTAATATTTTTTAGCAGAAAGAAATAATATTTTTTAAAAACACAGTATAGCACAATATATTTCCAGGGCATTTCTTATAAATCATATAACTGCAATAAAGTACTCAATCAGGATGTGAAAAATAACAGTATCTAGAACAGATTAATGCATTTGGCTGTACTCCATGCTTTACCACCCACCCAAGGTATGCAATTATCTAACTGCATCATGTCGTGTTCAATACTTAACTATTCATTTTGTTCACTAAAAGTTAAAAAAGCCCACTTTTACCTGCTAATTCTTTAGACTTCCTTCAATAAAATCAAAGAGTGCATGATTATGTCCATAATACAGTATTATGGTAACTGTTTAAAACAGTGCATTAGTTCATTAGACATGGTATCTACATTAATTTTCTGTAATAGTTGATAACATTCTATAGATTTCAAAATGACATACTTTTCATATAAAGTGGGATACCAAACTTATTAATGCTATGAGGGGATTGGGAATAATTTTTTTTCCTTTAAAGGAAAAACTGGGGCTTTTAGACAATTGAAACAAGACCGCTGCCATTCATCTGCATCCCACAATGTCTATATTAGGCCATTAGCTCCAAAATGATTTTAATTTCATTTCATTTTGCATTAAGCTTCAAATAATAAATATAAATAATACATCTATTCTCATCTGAGAAAATATAAGGGGGGGGAACTCTGGGTGACTGTGAGCGAGAGTGAGAGTGAATTGTTTGTCCCGTTCCCTGGCTGGCTGGGCGCCATGTTGGCTCTCCAGGGGACGGGACCTCCTCTAGGACTGGTTCACTCACTCTCCCTTTTTCGGACTATCTGCAGAGATGCTCTGCCTCCTCCCACGGGGCGGGAAGGGCCAGCGACTGAAACAACTTTGCTCACCCTTGTGCTCATGATTAAGACCTTTGTGTTATCCTCCACGAGTAATAGTCTTACTCCACCTTTAACTTCAGCTTTAACAACACCAAAAATAACATCGAAATCGGCATTATTGAATGGACAAGGTTGTGTCGAGGAGGAGGGAGCACCAGGACTATATGTGGGGCTCTAGCACATGATTCCTTAAAAAGTTATTATAACTTTATACACATGGGGTTTATAATTTGGGATTTTTATTGTATTTTTTTCTATTTTATAGTATATATTTGATTTATGTATTTATTTTGTATCTAAGTTTGTTTGTCTTACTAATTTAGGGTAACTTTTATTAGTTCTTTTTCTTTCTTTTTTTCTCTCTTTTTCTTTCCTTTTCTTGGATATGGAGTGGAAGGCCTGCTCGCCCAGCAAGGGGCCTTTCAGCATCCCTGTGATCATGGGTAGAGGGGGATATGGCATAGGCACAGTCCCTACTCGTGTTAGAAGAACGATGAACAGATGTTTGAAGGCTGTTCATTGTTCTGAGACTGTGATCAACCCCCAGTATCGAGGTGGCCAGCCCAGCCACCCCTCCACTCTAAATCTGGTACTGTTGAATGCCAGATCTGTTTCCAACAAACCCCAGGTGATCTACGACCTTATCCTGGAGGAGGATGCAGACCTGGCATGCATAACGGAGACGTGGATTAATGGGGAGGGGGCCCTCCCCTGGCTCTCATCTGCATGCCCTGTTATGCTGTCCAGCACCAGGGTAGACTGGAGGGGCAGGGGGGGAGTAGCCATTGTTTACAAATTCAACTTGGAGGTTACTAGGCGCTCCTCGGTGGTAAAGCCAGGTCTAGAGGCACTCCACGTGTCGATAGGGGCTAGGGATGGTATTGGGATTTTGCTGGGTTACCGTGCTCCCCGCGACCCAGCCACTTCCCTACCGGAGCTGGACGACTTTGTCTCTGCGGCATTGTTGGGATCCCCAAGGCTTCTCGTCTTGGGTGATTTCAATGTGCACGCGGGGGCAGAGACTACAGGGCCAGCTCTTGAGTTCTTGGAAACCATGGCTTCCTTGAACATGTCCCAACATGTCATCGGCCCCACCCACATGGGTGGCCATACGTTGGACCTGGTTTTTTCCACCAATTGGAGTGAGTGTGGTCTGGTGGTCACTGACCTTGTGTCGGTCCCCTTGTCATGGTCAGATCACCACCTAATAAAATGCAACCTCTCAGTGGCACTCCCCCCTTGCAGGGAGCAGGCACCTATTTCTATGGTCCGCCCTCGAAGCCTACTGGATCCTGTTGGATTCCAGGAGGCCATGAGAGGTGTTTCGGCTGACCTGGCTGGTGCTCCTGTCGAGGCTCTGGTTGACAGCTGGTCCAGCGCTGCCACTAGGGCTATAGACACGATCGCGCCTAAACGGCCTCTCCTGCTCAGAGCTTGGCCTGAGCCCTGGTTTAACCAGGTGCTCCGAGCAATGAAGTGATATAGGAGAAGGCTAGAGCGTAAGTGGAGGAAGAACCCAACGGATAATTGGATAGCTGTTAGGGTCACAACTAACCTTTACCTGACTAAGGTAAAGGCTGCATGTAGATAATTCTTCGCTAACTGAATAAGCGAAGCGTCCAACCAGCAGGCGGAGTTATTCCATATAATGCGCAACCTATCCGGAACTGATTCAGGTGATAGGCCTCCCCCTAGTTTTTCACCTGACCAGTTTGCAGCCTTCTTTAAATCTAAAGTGGAGGCCATCCACTGGAAGCTCTCTCCTTTTTTAAATACAGTGAGTCGAGCAGAGATGGCCAGCGCTCCGTCTTGCCTGGTGATTTTCGACGCCTTTCAGCCTGTAACGCCTGATTCTGTGGCCAGGGTGCTTGATCGCTGTTGAGCCACCACCTCCTCTCTTGACCCTTGCCCGGCTTGCTTAATCAAAGCAGCCAGGCCGATAACAACAGAATGGGCCACAGTAATAATAAATGGGTCTTTCCTTGAGGAGACACTCATTAGGCCCATAAGAAAGAAACCTAGTTTGGTGGCGGACGAAATTGGCAATTATAGCCTGTCGCCGATGTTTCTTTCATGAGCAAAGTGATCGAGAGGGTGGTGGCCGATCAGCTCCAAGCCCACCTGGATGAAACAGATGCCCTGGATCCATATCAGCCGGGCTTTAGGCTGCGCCATGGTACAGAGACGACATTGGTCGCCCTGTACGATGACCTGTTGAGGGAGGCCGACAGGGGCAAAATGTCTCTGCTGGTCCTCCTCGACATCTCAGCGGCCTTTGATACCGTTGACCACAGTATCCTCCTGGGGAGGCTCTCCGAGTTGGGAATTGGTGGCTCGGCACTCGCCTGGCTCCGTTCCTTCTTGG